AGCTTTAAAAGTACTCCATATAGCCCAAGACAGCGTTCAAAAAAATCGAGAGAAAGCGGTCGTTGGGTGCCCCTGAACATTGCTTTCCTTTGAGATTTTAAGGTCGGTACACACGTGTGAGGGGCTCCGGGTCACCTTTCCACAAAATTCCACAAGGGGATTTTATTGATGACTGCCGCTTAAACGCTAGCCAAGCGTATGTGCGCTAATTTTAGAAAGTGAATAATGACGTGAACTTGTGAATTAGTGTTTTAGGATCTTTGTAATATTTTTATTTTCATCAAAACTTAAGTACATGAATAGTGTTTCTTTTTAAAAAAAAAAAACACTCTCAAACTCATGAATAAATCATCAATGCTTACAGAATGTAATTATGTAGGTAGGCTATTGCAATTTTTACAGGGAAAAAACTTAAGGAACAACAATTTCTGAATTTTTTACCAGACAAATGTAAGCTTAACGTTTATATAAAAAAGTACTCAATAAAGTTTGTTGTTGTTGTTGTTGTTATTATTATTATTATTATTATTATTATTATTATTATTATTATTATTATTATTATTAAAAAAACATTGTTTGTAGATTGCTAGAGCTATGTGAACTCTAACATTAAGCAAATAATCAACAAAACTGTACTGAAATCATCTGAAAGAAAGACAAATACTGCTTGAAAAAAAAATGATTATATCCAATACAATTTGAAAATTACTGCCTTTAATTTTTTTTTCTAAATTCGTATGTCTGACAACCAAGCAAAATCGCACCCATTCCTTCTCGTCCATTTTTACTTATCACAAAATGTTATCTTTTATATGATATCCCAAAATGCACTTATAACAAACTTCCATGATAAAGGTGATTCGCACAGCCCCCTTAATTTCGTGTAGTACAAGCTTTTACCAACAATCTAAATGCCTATTTTTTCGTTCAAAAGTTTTGATCTTACCCCATATGAATGCAAGGTCCGCAGTATCAACAACTTTTGACGATCAAGGATAACCTGGCAGGGTAAATTTTCAGATTTAAATACAAAAAAGAAAAGGTCATAGTGGCTAACTCGTTGACTATGTCTACCTATACGTGTGTCAGTTTTAGAAGACCACAAGGCAAATCAAACAACTTTCTCACTGAGTAGTTGTCACAACAATACACTAAACAAAACATACCAACTGGTTGATTTATAATCACACAGTCTTCAACGACAATTCATACCTCGCATGCATGAATTTACAACTTTGACAGCCTTGTTCGGCAGTTCTACAAAACTGTACATACATGTGGCGAGTAAAAGAAAACCTTCAATACTTGTATAAATTATTTAAGAAATTTTAAATTCACTTTCGATTTTTCACTTTCTTTGTGGTCCAAGCTTCTGGTCCATGGATATCTTTAACCAATGTCATTTTGTCGACTACTTCCCCTGCCTGGAACAAAAGCAACAAAATCAATTTAGTTTAATTCTCTATGATGATTGCATCCAAACCTTTTACTCTTTGAAAGGAATTATACCATTACTGTAAAACATGTGTGTTCTTTTCAACATAGAAGATAAAAAGCCATGACTGTTGTACTTGTTACACTTACTTTATCAACACTGACTTGCTCTATGGATATGTGTGTCTTACTGTGGATGGTCATGCGTGAGTAACCATAATCTGAGTTGCGATAAGCTGTCCAGATGGCTTTGTCTTTCAGAAATGGGTCATGCTTTGAAGTACATCCCTAGAAAAATCATGACTAATATTACTAAACAGGAAAAATCAACAGTGAAACATGTTGTTCAGTGTTCATTATAACTGGCTATTTGTAAAATTCTGGGACAGAGTGAACATTACTGACGCAAGTGCTCTTCGTCTTCTGTAGCGAAAAAAGCCTGTGATTATTTCAACGGAAAACGTTATCACAGCAGATAATGCGGATGCGTGGAGGCAGCAATTCTTACCAGATTGCGCATCTGGGAAAATTAAAGGTTTGTTTCCTATTCTAAGGCTATGTGGCCTGACATGAAGTAGAAAGGCCATTAATAAAAAGAGAAATTCACAAGCATGCAGTATCTGTAAAAAAAACATTTAGCAGTTGTTAACCTCCATATTGCAACTCGCATTCAACAAATGTGCTGCACACAACATGAACGATGTATGTTTCGCAGTAGTGTTGAATCTTTGTACGGGGGTGGGGGGACTCTCTCATGAAATGACTGGGGATGCTCGACGAGACAACGAGCATTGCTCGTTGTCTCGCTTTGGGGTGCAAATCACAGATTTTGGACTCACTTGGGGTGTTCAAAATGAATCGCCACTATTTTAGTCATTGAAGTATCTTTTAAGGTATATTCGAATGAAAAAATACAGAAACAAGGCTGGGTTTTTTTGGTTTCTTTTAGACTGAGGTCAAATAAAGCTTGAGCCATGCCTAAACTGGTCTCCTTTAGGGGTTTAATTCAAATTTTCCCACGAGCATCCCAAACCCTTCCAGGTAGGAGTCCACCTTCCCCCCACCACAACCCCTTCCTGGGCTTTGCATTTGNTATATATATATATTTACATCTTTTCGCTTGCCTATTTAACAATTAGATTATGAGCTCAAGATTTCTATCATGTGATAGTTTAATTACGAGGGCCCAGCCCGAGCCTACTAACTGATTAACGGTCCTAAAGTAAAATATCAGTCAAGTTAGCTGTCTTTAAAAGGCCAAATTTTAACATAAAGAGCTTTCTCAAACCAAAAGCTGGTCTCCATGGTAGCCGTGGCTTAGGGAAAAGCATTGGGTGACGATACAAATAACAAATAACGCCTGCGAACTGGAAAATATCCAAAATTGGACAGAAAAAAATAACAATTCGAATCTTTTCACAGAGGGTTAAAAGTTGTGAAAATTAACCCACAAAAGGCAAACGTTATTTTTATCCATAGGACGGTTTCGATGGTGTTAAAAACATTTACAATGTGAGACATCTCTGATAATTATAATTAACATTCTATTTCACCGATATTGACCAGTTTCGTTTACTGTTTCTTGTTTTGAATTGTTTTTGTTGTTGTTGTTGTTGTTATTCTTCACTTTTTGTGTTTATCTTTTGCATTTTTTTAAATTTTGATCTTATTCGATTTTTTATCGACACTGCTTATCTTACCTTTACATTACTTAATTACAGTAACTTTTACAACACAATACTTGTTCCTCACAACACAGTACATACATCTTACAATAAAACTTTTCGGTCCAGTTTTCTGTTTATGTTGTCTGTCTTTCAGTTTCTTTTTTTAAATATTTGTTTTAGAGAGACTTCATTTCGATTCACACTTAAATACAAATTGAACAAAAATAGCTCTATAAAAAATAAAATAAATCAATAAAAGGATTACAAAAGGAATGTTTTTAATAACGAAAAATAACGAATGATATAATAACAGCGAACCGTTTCTGTCAGATACCCTCAAGATCCTGCCGACTTGAAGATAGAATGTGTATGGCTAAACTGAGGAATTTAGGAAGGCCATACTCGGAGTCAGTGCAGTCTAGAGTTTTTCCACTTTGTGACACTAGACCTGCATTCAGAAATTCCTTTCCCTCTAACGTTTAGCGTCAACTAATCCGTTCAGATCACTTCTCACCACTGA